GGCGGGAGCTTTAAACGGCGGCGCGCGCGGGACGTGGCTTTGGAACGGCTTCAACGGTCGCGCTGAGGAGAGAGGCGCGCGCGGGCGTGGGGGAGGGGCCGCTGCCCCACAGCGTCTCCGGCCCCTCCGGGTGCTTGTCCTCCTCTCTCCTGCTTATCCTCTTCTCTGAGGATTAGTTCCCGAGACCGGCATAAGTGGTGTCGCCTCGTTTAGCTGCGTGCTGCGCTGTTCTCCCTTTGCTCTTTTACGCAGCGCGTGTCTGGGAAGAGCTCGCGAAGCCGGGTCACTTCCTCTGTCCCACGAATATGCACTGCATAGGTGCTCTGGGCTAAATGTTTCTCTTGGTTTCCTCCCTTTGTGTGTGTGGGGGGGACTGCTATAACGTTTGGCTGTATTTTGTCTATAATCCGTTTGTATCGCTCATGTTCTTGCTTCTGAGTCCCTGGGTTTTTTAGTTGTCAGTAGTTGTTTGTTAGACGCAGCATGTTTCCTCGGAAAGCAGTTCGGTCATTTCTAAGATGAGCCGATGGTAGACTAGAACACATCTGCTTTTCTCCATCAAAGGACCACTGACAGTTCTGGTATAAATAAATCCTTGTGACTCTTAGCTCTGGATGAATTCAGTCTGAAAGGGAGCTATTAATGATGCTATCCAATATCCACAGCCAGTGCATTCTCTCCACAGTCTTGTGTTTTTTTTTTTTTTAATAAAAACATTGGACCCAAAAGATGGGATAGAGCTGGGCAACTTGTGACATTTGAAAAGAGGTACTCTATTCCTGAGCTTGGTTCATTTGACTGGGAAAAGGTTGTGTTGCCACGGGGGCTGCTGGTGACTACTGAAATACTGAAAATACAAACAAATACAAGTATTGAAATACGAACCCTCAACTGCGGTAGGAAGCAAAGCAGTGGGGTGTGACTTGCTGGGTTACCCTGGCATGCCTACTCTAGCCTCTTGTCTACCCTGTTGCATGCCTGTTCTTGCCTGATCCCAAACTAATCAAGAACTGCATCCTGTAAACTATTCCCAGAGCTTTTGTTCCCTTTGGATGTCATGGGTAGGTAGTACGTTTCTTGTGACTGCCAGTTATGTACAGATTTCAGTACATTTTCTATAGTACCAAGGAGTTAGCCACTTCTAGAGTAAGCATATTTAAATTAATGTGAATGATCTGTGATGTACAGGGAGATGTAACGTTCCTTCTGACCTTAAACTCCATTATAGTCTATAGATAAACTATGCGATATCTAAATGATTGAAAGTCTTTGGTAATCTTTTATGCTTTGGTCTTTGGAAACTAAGACTAGATTGACTAGTGCATTACTTTCAAAGGCTTTCTAATGAAGAACCTCGGGTTCACGGCACAATGAAAACTAAGAATATGTCAAGTTTGGCAAATAAAACTGCTAAATGCATTTTTAGCAAGTTTATGTTTTTACCTGTGTAGAGTATTACGAAAATCGTTAAGTTAGCGTTTAAATAGCACTTTACAGAGGTCAATCAGTTTACGTTTTTAATGTTGATGGTGGACTGCTGCCCAGCTGACATAGATCTTAGCATCAGTGTAGTTGCTCAGAGCTGTTTCTGTAGCAAATGCTTGGCCTCTCACCACTTAAAAATGTCTAGATTCAATTTATCATACTTCTGCATGTTATGAAAGCAGCAAGCTGTGTATAACAGCAGAATTTACCCTACGAAAGGTACCGGCAAAATAAACTGCACAAAACGTAGTGCTTGCATGCCTGGTTGACGCCTTTTTAAATTGAGCAGGTAACAGTAAAATATCATGTAAAGGCAAGTAATCAATATCAGTAATCAAATTGTTAATCGGTTAAATAAATTTAACTTTTGTATTTAGCTTCTTCTGCTCATACTCATTCCCTTTTAATCTAGGTTTTTTTTTTTTTTTTATTTACCAAGTCTGGCTGTTTATTCCCCGACAGTGTCAGTTCTTTCTGTCTCTGATGCTAAGTCAATAATGACATTATTGTTATCTGGGCTGAGTTCTGCAGTTGCATTCTTTCAGACTTCGTTTTCCCTGCTTGTTACTCTTCCTAATCGTTATTTCCCAAATCGTTATTCTTTCTAATGTGGCCTCTGTTTAGGAGTCCTCATAGATGTGTTTTCCACAGATAAATTAAGCTGCTGCTTCATGTTATGACTTAGTGAAGCACTTTTATATGTGACATTCTGTTCTTTTAAGCACCTTCCTTCAGTCACTGCAAGTAACTTCCTTTTGTGCTTTTCGGGTATACTTGTCTGTGTATTTTTTCCATTATGCTTATAATGCCTCCTAATTAACAGTATCTCCCAAAGCAGAAAATAATGAGTTTCAATTCAGGAACTCCACATCTGGTCTGTTTTATGTTGCGACATATTGTTCTTGGAGAAACACAGATTGTGAAATCGGTGCCCTTCCGGGCCTCGGGAATTAAGCTCCCAATTATTAAAATTAGTACTTTTCTCTTGACTTTTTATCCAGTTGTTGAGTTTCGCTGCTATTTTATCAGTTCTTTACTCGTCCACAGAGTTTGACAAAGTCTTGATTTCTGGAGATGATAAAAAGGGGTGGTAGAACTAGAAAAAATCCTTTATGTGAAGGAAAAACCCTTTTTTCATAAAGAACCCAAACAAAAAAAAGAACAAAAGTAAAACTTTGATGCTCATCTTTAGTGTTACATATTTGGAGTTTGGTAGGATAACAGTACAGCCAAATGTGCTCAGAGTGATCATATGTAGAACTAAAAAATACTTCTTTACTAACCTCATTTTAATAGAGGAGGATTGTTGTCCATCTGGGACAATTTGCCAGTCTCCCGAGAAAGTTTTTTTTTGATCACTGATCGTGTTACGGCTACTGTTGTGCTAGTTATTAGTAAGAATAGTGCAGATTTCCTGACTGCTTAGCTGTTCACCTGTGCTATTTTATTACTATTACAAATTGTCTCTTGTATTTATATTGCTTTTTGACTATCGAAACACTCTTTTCCCTCCCTCTGATTTACTAATAAGCAGCATTTCATTTTTATGATCTTCATGCTTTAAAGTGAGTAATGAAGTGATCCTGGGCAATACGCTCTAGAGGTCCCTGCTTGAGCAGGGAGGTTGGACTAGATGATCTCCAGAGGTCCCTTCCCAACCTAAACGATTCTGTGATTCTGTGATTAAAGATATTACTAACAATCAACAAAACTCAGTGATATAAGGAAATACTTAACACACAGTATTTTTAATAGCTTTAAAAATGAGAAACATTTTTTTACATTTCTAATATAAAATGTAAAATATTAGCATTACTGAGCTGACTGTTTAAACGTTTAATGATCCAAGAAATAGTGTTGAGGTACAACTTATCCACTTGTAGATTGTCTCCTTGAGATTATTTAATGTTGCTGAGTAACATGATTTGATAGTTTGTTTTAACAAGTATGGTGTATAATACATAATTGATTTAACATTTGCAATTTTTCTTTTGTTTTAGTCAATTGAAGAAAATGAAGTGTATTTGCCTAATGATGAGCTCTGGATCTATGAAATGGATAGTGGGTTATGGTAAACTGCATTATTTATATTTAATTAATATATAACATTGTTATTTATGTAGATTACAGTTAGCTGTGGGTTAAAGACTTATTTCAGTTACATAAATGAGCTCTTGTTCATGTTCTTTGGAGTTCAAATAGCAGGTGTTTCATGAAGACTTAAGAACGGGCATACGTACTTACAAATTACTCTAAGAAATACATTAATTCCTTTCGGATGATTGTTTTTTTCTGAGAGGATGTTTTAAATGGCCAGCTTAAGGCTTTGTTGTTAAAACGGGTGCAATACTTGCACATTTATTTCAGCTCTGTTCTTCTTATAGTACCTGTTAAGTTAAAATGAATACTTAAACACTAGATACTTGTGTGCTTGATCTATTTACAGTTATATATTTTTTTGTAATTTCTTAACTACGTATTTGCCTACATAACTCATTTTTAACAGTCAAGCTAAACGAGAACCTGCTCTTGCACATCACCAGCAATTTAGTATTTACATCTTATGTTTATTGTGTTCACATATTGGGCAGTGATAACAATGCTCCTTTTTAAAGCTTGCCAGTAGTTGCTGTTATACCAGTTGCTTTCAGTCTGGTAAAGTAATATCCATTCGGGCTCAAATGTGTTTTGTGAAAGTTCTTTTTTTAGTCTCCCACCTATTTATAGAAAATTTCTTGCATCCCCATATTTAAAGCAACAATTTGAAATCGAGGGAAAAGGGGGAAAAATTGCCGAAAAAGGGAAAATCAGATCAAGAAGGTATCTTACTGCGTGTATGACATTCCACATCCATTTGGCCAAGGCACTGTCCTTTGAAAACAGCAGTTTGCGCATGGTTAGCTAAGAAGTTCTAGCATGTCTTTACTAGCCTTTTTGAACATTGTTTTCTCACTGAGGCTGCGGTTTGATGTCTGCTGCTTTTGGTCAAAGGTTAGCTAAAGAAACCTCATACCCTTTCTTTCTTGTTCTTCACCACTGATATCCCCTTAGCAGTTGTACTGGTACAGCTGTTTATATGGTCATGCAGGGAATTGCATCAGGGAAATGATCTGGGTTAAATATAACCTTTCTTTTTGGAGGGATTATTTTTAACCTGGATCAGTTCCTGATCTCATTAATTTTACAGCACAAACAGTCAAATACGCACAACCAAGTGCACAGCATGACACAGGAACAAACAGGAACGAGAGAGCAAGAGCAGAGAAAGAAGGTAGGCCTGCCTATGGCAGTGCTGATGCCAGAACAAAGGTATTTGGTATTTGCCCCGAGAAGCTGTTAGTGAGCAGTTTTCAGTAGTGACAGATTACACGTGCATCTTTCACATCTGGTGATTTAGGCCTCTTTTAGGAATTCCTTTTTAGGAGATTTCCTTTTAATGGCTGCTTCCAGTTCTTTTAGGTTGGGGAAGGTCAAACATTGAAATCGAAAGCTGTAGGAGTATTTTTCTTCTGTATGGTCACCAGTGATACAATAGGAAGCCGTCTGATCTAAAGTCAGATGCATCAAAGAAGGGAATGAATGGAATTGACTGGGACCAGAAGTTAGAATTAGAACAAGCAAGGGGAAGAAAAACTAGAATTAGGCTTTGAAGTGGGGTGAGATACTATAATTGAGAAGGGAGACTTGGCTAGGGACCCAGTTGGAGGGCTCAGAGTCAGACTGCATGAAGAGCTAAGAAAAAGGAACTGGAGTGGCAGGGGAAGGAAACTTTGACAAGAAACTGTGGGGTGAAAGCAACTGAGACTTCAGCAGCAAAGCTGGGGCAAGGAATTGGAGTGCCAGCACTGAGTTTTCACTGAAGCTGTGAAAACAAGCTGCAAATCCTAAACAAGTCACATTGTATGTGTCTTTGTGTGAGAGAGGGAGCGAGGTAGAGGTAGGCAGATAAGTATATGTAGGTCCCTATTTTCTGTAGAAATTCAAGATTCTAGGAAAGCTGTTTCCAAGCGTGGAGTGATGATTCTGAGTGCAGTCCTGGCCTAGCGATTGGGCTCATGAGTTTGGCAAAAATTCAGTTTCATCATATAGTTAGGTAGTGCCTGAGATTGCTCGATGTTAGAATTTGTTTCGCAGGAAGTGACTGGTTTGTAAATGAAACTAACAAGGAAAAGGTTAGGAAATGCTACTAACTGTGGAAGAACAGAGTCCTCATTGTTAAAACTGACATTATTGAAACTTTTGGTTATACCGAATACAGTGCAAAATCCAGTTTTAGGAGTGACGGAATGGTTGCCAAAATTAGTGAGTACTTCTGACCTTTATTTCTACTTGTGCCTCAGTTTTCAATCTGTGAAACAGCAGTAATACCATGTTCTCCTTTCAGGGTTTTTTGAAGTTAACATTAATAGTATTTCAAATTTTTGAGTAACTCCTCTTTCAGCCCTACCGATGCTCTTTTAATATGGGCTTCATCTTCAGAAAAATGAAGGTGCATCTTAATGTATGCATAATATTCATGTGAAAGTACTCTTACACCATAGGATCTGACTTAATACATCAGCTGCAGTTTCTAGTGCTATTTATGCAAACATTGCAACTGTTTTATATATTTATATTTCCCAATAAAAGCTTTAAATATAAAAAAATATTACTACATCTGTTTTGATTTCGTTACTTTTACAATGCTGCTTCCAAACCCACTAAGACTTGATATGTATGCTATATTGCAGGACAATGCACCTGATGGAAGGAGAGTTACCCACCTCCATGTCAGGAAGTTGTGGGGCAAGCATTAATGGGAAGCTGTACATATTTGGTGGATTTGATGATAAAGGATACAGTAATCGGGTATTGTATTATTTTCTTTTGGAACATACTGAATTTGAATGAGTAGTAATGCTGAACTTCTTACTGTTTTATCAGGTGTACTTTACATTTGAACTGAGAAATTTAAGGAAAAGCTTTGGTTCTGTAGAAAAAGTGTATTTTTAAAAGACTTTAAACTGGCATGTAACTTTATAGTTTTTGTTCTGAAGTTTAACTCCATTTATTTTTCTGGGCATTTTCACTGACCCTTACCTTCAGACCCAGTGTATTAAACTCCCCGGTTTTGTTTCTAAAAATTGCTTTTGCTTTCCTGATTCCTTTTTTTTGGGGGGTTGAAAAACAGATTTGCAAGCATAATTTAAATTTATCTCATATGTATCGATTTTATTTTTGGTCTTTGATGACTACCTTTCTTATACAGTCATGTAATAATTAAAGCTAAAATATAGCTGCTACTTTTCCTAATAACTGAAGACTAGTAAGTAGCAAAGTAGAGGAGGAAATGAGCTATTTTGTCAATTAGTGTAAATGAAGTCAGAGTTCAGTCCAGAGTAGAAAATAATAGAAAATAACTGAAATGAGGCCTATAATCACATCTCAGTTTAGTACTCTATTCACAAACAATACTGATTTGGGTGTGTATGTACTCGTTAGGTTAGATAGAACTCCTGAAGGATAATAGTATTGAAATGAACGAGCTGTTCATCTGGCAGAAGTTTTTTGCAAGGCTTCGGTTGACTCTGGAAGGAGCAGGATTTTACTGGACTCGTTTGACAGAGCTGAGGGAAGGAAACTTGCTGCTAGTTCTTATGCTGTAACTGTGTTTTTGTCATGAATCAGGCTCTTCCTGTATGCTGTAGTGTAAACTTCACTGTCATTTCCTTTTTTAAAAGGAAGTAGGGTGTTCTGGGGGTGGGGGGGGTTGCTCTTACTCATTGCTGATCTGTGCTTGATTCTTCAACATCATTTGTACTGAAAATGTTATTTTTTTCTTTTAAGCTGTATTATGTTAATTTGCGAACAAAAAACGGAACCTATAGGTGGAAAAAAATTACAAATTTTAAAGGTCAACCTCCTACGCCACGTGACAAGCTTTCCTGCTGGGTGTATAAGGACAGGTAACCCCTTAAGAATATTTAATATGTCTTAACTGCAGACAGGAAGTATTATAAAGTGAGGAGAACGCAGGTTTGGGATTCATGAAACTCTTAATTCTTAGCTGGACTTGCTATGTGATTTTGTGTAACTCTCCTAACAACTTTGTAGCTGAGTTTTCCACCTGTAAACTGAGAAAATGGTAAGTACAAGCCTGCTTTAGGAGAGGACTGGGAAATTTAATGAATGTCTCTGGAATGCTTTGAGATTGTAGATGAAAGTCATTATGCATCTGTTACTTATATTTTTAATTTTAACACGTATTAAAAAATCAGTGTAAAAAATACACTGAATTTTTGGTATTTCCTGCAATAAAATGTATATTTGATATATTTTCAAGGATTTTTAATAACATAAAAATATTGACAATTGCAAGGACATTTCAGTGAGTATCTTTATAATATAAGGGGCCAATTCAGCCTAGATACTTGTGCAGTAAAAGTTACTGAGCATGTTTGGAAAATAAATACATAAATAACTGTTTTACTCCAGATTTTCTGTTTACTCTGGAAAGTATCTGGATGTTGTGGCATATCTGGTCACAAGTAACATGTGGATGATGTGATATGAAAGCTATTGTAAACAAGTAAGAATATGATACACAGTGAACACAAAATATAGGTATTATATAAATATAATGTGTCAATACTATATGTTGATTTTGTAACGCTAATTTAACTGCGACATATGTGAAATTACATGTATTTGAACAGCTTTTCCTTAGCTATTAATGCAGGATTATTCAAAACTAAGTTGATTATTCAGAGTCTCGTGTAATCTGTATACTGAAAAGGTCGCCTATTTCAGGTGGCAGAATGTAGCTTAACATAACCTTTTTATTTAACAAGACTATCTGGGGACAAGCTATGCACCTTTTCAAAAGTAAACCATAACATTTCACACAATGTGCATTTGCAGATCAGGATGTCTTGGTATATTGCACAATGCTTTCAGTAACTCTGTTTCCCTAGGAATGTCAGTCTGGAATGACCTTCACCATACCATCATTTCCCAAATTGCCTTCTCCCAAGATCACTAACAACAATACCACATATCCTCAAATGTTGAAGTTAAACAAAACTTTAGGAACCATTACTTATGGATGGCCATTTCATGGGTGGAATATTAGGCTAGGAGGTGTGTAACAGTACTTGCAACACAATACCCTTATGTTCAGTAGTACTTGGTTAAAAGAATCTCTTTATAAGTTAAAGAAAGGCTTTGTGGGTCATAAGCAGTCTGTGGGCTGAACTTTGGGAACGTTTTTGGTAAAAATATGTATGGCTAACATATGCAGCAGAAGCGCAGGAAAGTCAGTGCAAAGTGATAAGAACCCTAGCAGAAGCATAGGGGTTTCACTGTCTTGTATGTTATGTGTCATTTTGAGCTTTGTATCTGAATACGCAGTCGTGATAAGCTTGTGGATGGAGGAACAGAGTATAGGGACTCTGAGGTCTCTTAAACTTGCTTCCTTGCTTCTGTGGGCTTCTATCAGGCATGTTCAGGAGTGTAACAATATTACCTTCATCTTGGTAAGGCTTTCCGTGTAGTTGTGTGCTGTATGAAGTACTTTTATTTTCTTATGTTATTAATAGTACAGAAGGCAAACCAAAATTTGAAATTAATTGTTGCAGCTTATTCATTTGAATGTTATTTAAAAACACAGCTTTAGATTAAAAAAGTAAACAGCTTTAGAACTAAGAGATTTTTTTGGTTTTGTTCTTTTAGGCTGATATATTTTGGTGGCTATGGCTGTAGGAAGCACAATGAACTGAGTGACTGTTTTGATGTCCATGATGCATTTTGGGTAAGCGAGCTGTTACTGTTCAGAGTGCTTTGTCCTTTCTGATGGTCAAAACATAATCTTTTATACTATGTTCAGAAGGTATGAAAATCTTTCTAACTTTTCTTTTATTTGTAGCATCAGCAGAAATGCAAAATTGAATCTTTTACTTAAATTTGAAGCTTCCGCTATTGGATGTTGGGGTTTTTTTCAGTGTATTCCAAGTACCCAGCTCTAGGCTTCGAGTGTGACGGAAAAAATGCTGTTAAAGCAGAAAGGAAGGCACTATTTTAAATTAAATATGAAAATCGCACAAAATTTTAGAGTCAACGTCCGTGAAGTAACCGTAGGATATTTATAGCTTCGCAAGCCTTCCTGACAAATACTTTCAGCTGATTTATTTTATTTGTTATCCAAAGTAAATACCATTCCTTTAAGATGCCTGGATTAGCTTCTTTCCCATAACGATTTCTTACAGTTTTTAGAAGAGGGGCTGATTTAATTGGAGTATTCATGCACAAGAATTAACAAGAAATAAATACTCACTCGAGAATATAGACCCTTACACCAAAAGTTAAATATTGACGTACAGAAATGTATTACTTTGTGCAATCTGACTAGTTATTCCTCACTATCTTACAATAAAAATTAGAAGGTAGAATTTGTCTCCTCTGCCTGACTGACTTAGGAATCTAGAGCCCATTTTCAAAAGTGTCATCAGCCGAAAGAATCCTAAATGCTCTTGATGTTCAAATAGACCTGAGCTGCTGAATCACTTAAAAAAGATGTTAACTTCTATTTCTCCATATTTTGATTTATTTTCTGTTTGGCTATATCACTCCTAGGCTTTTCTCCTTTAACAAACACAAAGATGTTAAGATGAAATACATTTTTTGAATTTTTAACTTCTCTTTTAGGAAGGACAGATATTCTGGGGATGGCATAATGATGTTCACGTTTTTGATACAAACACACAAACTTGGTCTCAACCAGCAATTAGAGTGAGTGGTTTTTAAGTCTTGTTTTGTGACGCAATTGTGATTGTACTACTTTTTGAATAGTTACTGAGCTCCAGAAATCGAGGATGGGGGAAGTAATTCGAATATGCTTAGTATTACTCAGGTTCATAACTTATAACAGGAGGATATTTAATGCATCTGAAATGTGGCAAATTCAAAACTGATAAAAGGAATTATTTTCACACAGGATGTTATTAGACTGGTGTTCATTGCTGTAAGGTGGTTTTGAAGTAAAAAATATAGCCAGTGCCAGAGAGGTGTTGGAAATCTGTATGGATGAGAAGATGACTATTAAATAGCTCATTGTGACAAAAAGCATTAGGAGATAAAGCTTCATATTCAAGCTTTAAAACAACTCTTGGCGATATAAAATTACTGTCAATGCTCCATTACTGGAAGTAAGTCACTGGGCAGGAGAATACTCCAGAAAATAGAAAATCAGTTTAATGGAAATACCAGAGGGGTGCTGAGGAGCGGTGTACAGAGGTATGGCAGTGTCTCCTACCGTTTTGATTCTGCAAAATGTTTGGGTATCCTTGTACTGCCTTCCCAGGGCTTTGGGTCTGGAAAATTTCTTAGCTGGAGCACAACCATTAACTCAGGCTAGCTCTGTATTCAGGATGCATCACCCCTAGCGAAGGCCTTCTGGAAACATGGTCTTCAGGGAGCGTGTTGCAGAAACATGTGAGTCATTTTAATAGTGCTAAACTGAGGTTAACAAACCCTGTCTATCTGAACTGATTTGCTGTGAAGCCATTTGGTTGGCTCTAATCTGTGTAAAATTCATCTGCAAACAGGATAAACTATCACAGATAGCGGCGAGTCGACTGTGAGAGGTTACGGTCTAACTGGGGGATTTCTTCCTCCTTTTTCCTTTTTTCAAAAAGCTGATAGGTCTCTATGATTCTTTTAGTCCAATGTATTGTCATTCATAGTTGTCTTGAAGTCTAGTCCATGTTGGTTCCCCATTCAGCTTTTGCAGACTGAGAGCACAAGGGAGAAAGATACCTAACGTTTTCCATTGTTAGTTTAGGCCTTCAGCCTTTATTTATTTGTGAAGTAAAGATACGTGTTCAGTATGATGAGGTAATGCACTCATTCTTTGAGTGCTGCGTATATGCAGTTGCTCTTATTCTTTAGCTCAAAGGTTAATGCTGAAAAATCTAAACAAATTTATTGTAATCATGCTAATTGTTAAAATAAACAGAACCAGTATTCTTCAGCAAATAAATTATTTTATTTTAATAATCGTCCAAAGAAGCATGTATACCCAGAGGTTTCCCAGGAAAATGGTAATGCACGCGTTTCTGTTTATTGAAATTACTATGATAGTGTACCGCGGAGCCTCATACAATGCTGGTGAGCTTACATAAGAATTCAGTAGAAAACTTTGATACCAGTTTGCACCTTGGAAAAAATCAAGCTGAGCAGGACATATCAGCAATAACTGGTGTGTTATTGTAACTTTATGCTTGAGAGTTAAAGAGAAATTAATGTGTCTCACTTGAATAAAGTATTAATAAGTCAGACTAAGAGGGAATACATTAAGCATGAGGAGCTGAGGGAACTGAGTTAAAGTTGTCTTTGGCAATTATGCATATCATCTAATATCGCTGGGGTTTTGGACACCACTACAAAGTCTTTCCTTTTGAAATTGTAGTTCTGTTGGCATAATGATACGTGTTGGTCTTACTTTTGCAGTTTCTGTGTTACTGACTTGCTGTTAGTCCTCGGCTGACGCTGATGATATTCTGAAATATCTTATATTGGTTCTTTCAGGGCGGAGATCCACCTCAGCCTCGAGCAGCTCATACATGTGCTGTGCTGGGAAATAAAGGTTACATCTTTGGAGGACGAGTACTGGTTAGTGTTTAATTAAGATATTATATTGTCAATAATAATTTCCTGGCAGTTTTTTTGGTAGCAGTTTATTTTTGCAGGAGAGAAAAAGCTGACGTGTCTTTGACCATAGCCTGTATGTTTAAGGATGGTTAGTCCAGGATGCTTATACCTTGTGAAGAGTATCCTTTTCTCTCTATTAATGAAGCATACATTGCTCCAAAAAGGAAAAACCGGATGACCACCTGAGAGGAGGCTATTTGTAAAATGTTTATAAATCGACAGAAGTGATTGAGCTGTGCATAATCTGAGATACTTCTTTGAGAATGGAGCAAAAGCAAGCCTGATGCTAGCATCTCATCATTTATTGAAACCTGATCTATCGTTCTGTGCTTGCTACAGCTTGACAGAGTTATATATCAAACTTTTGTTTTCATTCTATTTAATGAAATGCTAGCAAGTGGTAAATATAACTAGGATTTTACCTTGTGCTTTTCTTCCCTAAAGAAAGGGGAAATATATAAGAACAGTCATTTCTCACATACACACCTCTGATAGCCTGATGTTTACCTTCTGAGAACTGGAGTTCAGAATAGTTGTTCGGAGACAGTATTTTATGTTTGCAAGCGCGTTAGAATTGCACAGTGAAGTTCTAAAAGGTAGGAAATGCCAGATTTCGGTTGGCTGTAATCTAAAAATTTTGTCATCTTTGTTGTATAAATGGCTGAAGTATGGTCCTCTGGAAAAACAGCATGTGACCTTAATGTCTGGATACAAAGCTATCAGTCTCCATACATTCAAGCCAGTACAGGATGCTGCAGCATGTTATTTTAATAACACAGGTTGCTGCAGGCACAGGTCATTTCTGCCCTGTTAAGCCTCCCCTCTGCTCTCTGAACACCAAGTTCACAGTCTGTCTTTCAACATGCTCAGTGCCCTTGATACAGAATATGTGAAGCATGCCGTAGAGATTGCTGTTGACAACTCTATTCTGAGCATCCAGTATAAGCTCTTTGCCACAAGGGTAAGGTTTGTATGTGTTTTTTGGTAGTTGATCACGACCGTATCATTTAATACACCCACTCTTAAATACTGTATTGAATCTTAAATACTATATTGTCAAAGGCAGTGTAAGAGCTGTATAGGATGCAGTCAGTGCACATGTTAGAGCAAGGCTAGATTCTTTCTATATAATCTTAACTCTTAAATTTCTTACTTTCCTAGCCCTTCTTAACTTAAAAAAAAAAAAAAAAAGAAAAAAAAAACACTTGAACAGTCCTCTTGCATCATCCTCCCTTTTCCTATGGCAAGGATGATTACCTAACAAACTTGAGGCTGTTACTGGGAAGCAGGAGCTTAGGAAAACCTCTCAGCAAAATGCCTATTTAATTTTTTAGCACTGGTCCGAGGAGATTTTTTCCCTGTTCTCATAAGTAGTTCTTCTTCCTGAAACATTAAATGTAAGAACTGAAGTCTGAAGCAGCAATCAAATATAAAATATGTCTTATGAATGAAAATAGGGATACTAGATAGCCTTTATAAATGATAGGTGGAGCTGGCATTAATTAATTTTTTTTAATTAATTTTTGGCTGACATAGGTTCTTGATGGGCTGGTATATGTACCAACTCTCTTTAAAACTATTGCAAAAAATATAGGTAAGATAATATGTATGAGCTGGAATTTATCACGAATGTGAGAAACTGAGATTCTGCAAGGCAAGTAAAAAAACCCCCAATTTAAGTTACTGTATACTCTTCTGTATTTTTTAAGTCATTAAAATTTGTTCTCTTACCTACAACTAATTTAGAGCCTTTAATCATATTTAGCTAGAGGATGAGACTTGATGCTTTCTGTCTCTACTGCTATGAAAGATAACAATCAAGAAGCTTCTGAAAGCACTCGGTGCTATATTTGTATAGTTTTGTTATATGAAAGAAAAGGAGGTAACTGTTATTTGGAACTGTCTTACCACGAACATATGCCAACTTCATCGTAGAAAGTTGCCATACCCTAGTGTAGGTTACTTTTTGTTCTCAAATACTCACAATTAAACATTGCTTAGAATTGCACTTTCTTCCCTGTCTCAATTTCCCCTCTCATGCTGTAAAAACTGCACTCCAATGCAGTGTTCTTCTCAGGAAAAGTCTACAGTTCTGTTACAAAATGGCTTACTCCCGCTTGCTCAGACAGAAACCAGACATACTGATCAAGGCAGGTTGAGAACGGCCACATATTCAAATATCCAGCCAGTTATTCAGTTTGAATTGCCTCCCACAGCTGCAGGAAAGTTTTTACCCTAAGTACCTTTTCAGAACAATCAGAAAAGAAAATAACCAAAACTGCTCCTATTTATTCTTATGATTCTGTATGACGTGTTGTGTGGCCTTTCATACAGGCTTATGATCTGTGAAAGTGTTGCTAAAGCCCCACTTCTAACTGAGAGAACTGCACACAGTAGCTTCCAGAGCTGTAGGGTTGGACAAAGTTGACTTGCAAATGACTAAGGAAATACAAGAGTATTAAAAAGTTGGAAAAGTGTCTTGTCTTGCCAGAGAATCCTGTGTGTCAGGGTTAGCCGTGCCAGGCTAAACGATTCCCGTGCCTGTGCTATAGGCTTGCTGTGCCATGTCTGCTATATAAATGAGCTCTGCTAACCACAGCTGAACTGTATCCTGCCTCTCATTTAGCAAGCCTGCAGATTGAGGGGGAGAGAAACCTAGATGTGAAGAAGTAAACATGCAGCTCAGGACCTTCTGGCCTACCATTTCTGACCACTTTCACAGCCTTCAAAGCCTTGCTGCATCTGGCTTTCTGTTAGTGAGGACTACGTCTTTGTGGTGCAGAGGTCTTCCCACCAGAGGCAGAATAGCTGTGTGTGTTGTGTTCTAGCTAATTAGGGTTGCTGCACCATGCCTATTGCAGTTGAACTGCTCTATAACCCAAGCTATGATTTCCACATAGCCTCTGCTACCTGGAGTGAGTATATTAGTAAACTGGAGCTCACCTGTGATTTTTTTTTTTTTTTCCAACTATGCTGTTGCATGATTTGATAAGCCCTAAGCTCTCTGGCTTCTATTTAATTCTGTCCCGTTAACTACAGGATTCAGGAATACAAGAAGGCTATGATCTCAAGAAGTTTTTCTCTTCCTCAGGTAGCATCTGCTTCCTTAATAACCCTTTGCTAAATTTCAGTGAAACTGCTTGAGAACAATATCAGAAAAGAATGAATTTTTGGAAAACTGTACTTAATTTTGCAGAAGAGCAGCAAGTGTAATTTTCCCTTTAGTGATACCCTATTATTGTTTCACTTCCTGTCCTAGAAATAAATGGAAGGAGATTCATTAGGGTTAGGGAACATGCAGTAGGATTTGAGGAGTTAATATAAATCATGAATCAGGAAAGGAAAGGTAAAGACATCAGAAAGACTACATTTCCTGGCAACAGGAGTAAATTCCTCCCCAAAGGATGAAGTCTTGCTTTTCTCCATAAATTAAGGAGCAAGTACGGGGTTGCTCTGCTCCTCCTTCTCCTTCTAGTTCACCATAATACAAATCTTCCCAGGGAAAAGGCTCTACAAGGAACCAGAAAGGGCCAGGAAGTGTCATGAGGCTTCTCCTATTCATCTTTCTGGGAGGAAAGGGCACCTTTTTCCAAACTTGGAGCTAGAGCTGGTAAAAGAAGAAGATGATGATCAAAATCAATTGTACCAGGAATCATTTGAAAACAGGCTCAGAAGTGTTATGTGGACTCTGTTCCTCCAGGTAAGCCCCTGCAAAACAGAAATGGGAGGAAGTGGGAAGGAAGGAGAATTAGTCTGCAAGTTGATGCAAGTCTCTTGTCTGATTTAAGTGGAAAGTTTTCATGTAAAGAATGATGAAGTAATAAAGTCTCTCCAGCAGCTCTTTGCATATCTGATGCCTTAATGTATGCATGTTTATATTTCTGTTACCTGTTCTGTCACAGAAGATCAGAAGATCCGTTGAACTGCAAGTCTGTCTTTTACAAAGATTTGAGTTGTAATAGCTATTTGATTGTAAATCTCAGAATGGAGAGCTGCATAGAGGTTACTGTAACAGCAGTGAGCTGTAAATATGTCACATTACCCTTAATGCCTTTCATGGTGCTGGAAAGCTAGTCCTGAGACAAAGCAGATCTTGGTTAATGTTCACTAGGCTGCCAGTAAATGAACAAGCTACAGATAAATGTGTAAGGAGTGTAAGGGCTTCTTGTAGCTCGAAGGGAAATGCAAAGCGTCTTTTGAGGCTTGGTGGTGCTAAGCCAGTTAAGAATCACTTTAGGATTATCAGCTAAGTGATGAAATGTAGTAGGTAGCATTTAGAAAGGTAGAAAAAATTGCAAGAAAACTTTGCATAATGCAAGTGAACGTTCTATGAACTGAGCATGTGTTTTACAGTTTCCCTAATAAGGGTTGGGTAGAAGACATTTTGATTTGTTAAATCTATGTTAAAAGACTGAATTTTAGACACAAGTGTCCAACTGGTGTGTATTTCAAATTCAAAATGAGGTTGATGTGATTATGCATCTGTCAGTGTGTTGAAACATCAGAATATGAAGATGATAATACATTGATTTCCCAGGGAACACAAAGTCAAAAGAACTATTCTGTCTTCTGCCTAATGCCTAGTTTTTCAAGAGAGGAAAGTCAACGAGGAGATCTTGAACAGATTCTTCTTGAAACCTTAATTTTCAGCATAACAGCAACTTTCTTTCTTTCCTTCATTAATAGATGTCCTCTGTATCACAGTGTTATTCCAAGATGATTAAATATTTTCAGTATTGGAGGCCAAGATGATGTTTTTTCCCAAGTGTCTAGCTGTGTAGAGCAGAAGATACTCAGTAATTGCATTTTGCTTTCTGCTTGTCTAATTTGTTCCTCATCTCCTTCAAAGTCATATGAAGGGGCAGGAAATTGGATAGACTTGTCATGGAGGACAGATCTGTTCCACTAGCTGTCAGCTGGACTGCCTTTTATTGTTGCATTCACCCTCTTGATGGGATGAAGTTTCTTGGGCAGTACACAAAAGCACTTACAGGCTGCTTTCCTTTAGCCTATTGGCTTCTCTGAAGGCGTGTTACAAAATGCTAGTTAACATTATATTCCCTAAGACAGAAAAGGTCTAGCGCATCAGAGGAGGCCACAGACGTCCTGAAAACCTTGCTGTTTCCTGAAATACCCTGAGAGACTTTCCATAGCTCTGATGGACAGCATTGGAAGTCTCTCAAACTCACTAACTGGCTGGGTTTCTCAGGGGTGAAACTACTCCTCTCCTGACTTAAATGACAAGTCTAGTTTCTGCCTCAAAGGATCTGCAAGCTGGAGAAAGGCTCATTCTAATAGATCTATGGACTATTCTAGGAGAAAAGAAATTGTAAGGTAAGGCAAGATATATTTCCCTACTTTTCAGATACTGATTTGTAGTACCGAGGGGAATCACAAAAATCAGTCAAGTGTTTTGTGAGTCATTGAAAATGTTATTGCAGTCTAAAGGAAAGAAATTCTTGCTTATAGTCTTCTCCTCTCCCCTCCTGCCACACATTTATGTTTCCAAGGCAATTACTTTTTTCATTTCAAAACACACACGGATATGCAAATGTATTGCTTTTCCCTTGTTGTTACTGATACATTTTATTATTTTTATAGCAAATGTTCAAGGGTCATAAAACCCTGTCGTTTTTAGTAGTAACGTTGTGCAAGGCCTTAACATCCTGAAAAGAAGGAAAAACACAGATGTGATGAACTTTTTGTGGGATGTCATATGCCAAGTACAGTACGTAGCAAAACGTTTTCAGGAATTGGTGACCAGGCAGGAAGATGCATAGGTCTGATCCAAATGCCAAGAAAAATAGTGAGTTAAACTATATGCAGAATATTCTTCTGCAATTATCCACCACAAGTGCTATGGATGAGAAGTGAAATACCATTGCAAGAACTGAATATCACATAGTTCTTGACTATTAAACTACTATTGAAAAAAAAAAAAATTGGCTCCATACTGCCGTTGCATTACTAGAAATATTCCTGACAGGTTATTTTCAGAGTTTTGTCTGTTTTTATTGAAGAGAGGAAATGCTTTTCATCTGCCACGCAGGACAAAGCTGTGTTGAGGCACGTAGGTAAAATTGTACCTAAAATAATATTACTAAAATATTCTGTCCTGGGAAGATCTCACTAAAATGCTTTGCTCATTATTTGCTTAATATAACACAACTGGGCTTTTATTTATTTATTTGTTTCAGCAAACTAGAATGAATGATTTGCACTGCCTGAATTTAGACACTTGGACTTGGTCTGGAAGGTAGGTTTCTCTCTATAACCGTTAAAATTGAATGTGGCAGATTGAAACATACTGTTAAATAGTTCCGATGCTAATTTTGTAGCTTTTCCAAGAGGAGAATGGGAGTTTGGGGGACTATTTCAACAGCTGTTACATTGTGATTTCAATTTAATTTAATTTGATAGTGGCTACAAAGCTCTTTCTGTTCTGCACCAAAGCATTGTTGATGCGATTTTAAGCACAGCATGTAGTGATTTAACATCCGAATTTTCAAGATGGGTACCTTTATCCATATGGAATTTTGGTTTTGATGTTTTTTTGCATGCTCTTTGTACTATCTATTATTATTTGACTTTTTATAGTCCAGATTGGAGAAAAATCACTTTTATTTTCTCTCAAGATATGCTTTTTAAACAGTTTTTTATCAAATAATATTATCTAAATGTTTCCATTTTAAATTAAGTCAGGTATTAATGTACCTCCTAAGATTTATTTGCGTATAGTAGTTGCGATAGTGCCTACTACATGTGTCGAATCAATTGATGTATTGTCAGCTGATAGACAAACCAAGAGGTAAGCAGTAAATGATAGGTGGTAGCCACTGTTCTGTTCCTATTCTCAAAGTGACTTAATCATTTTGTAAAAGACTGCAATACAGCTTCCCTTCCCTTCCCTTCCCTTCCCACCAACTGTGTCTGCAGCACCGCTCCTGCATCGAGCGTATTGCTCTGCCCTCTGAGCTGAGAGCAGAAAGAGGGAGTAGACAAAATCCTCCATCCAGGCCTTCTTACCACAGATGGTAGCAGGACAAAGAGGTCCCACAGTATCCATTCAAAAAAATTCTCTCTTCTCTTCTTGAGATTTCTTTAATTATCACTTATGATTTACTAATCAGTTTAATTGTCCTTTTTTTCTTTACCGGTTGTTTTAAAGCCTTAGACTGCAAACTCTGCCTCTGAGTGGAATGATTATTCCTAATATTGGCTGCAATTGCTCACTTTTTTTTCTTATTTGTAGCATAAGCAGTTGCTGTTTGGCTTGCTTTTAAAAAGGAAACCTGTAACAGTTGGGTGATCAGTCAAGGAGGGGAATTTCAAGCTCTAAAGAAGGGGTGTCAATGTCAAAGTTCCGTCAAAGTTCTAGTCGGCTAGTGCCCCTTTTTGTTTGGCACATGACAGCTAATATCTAAGTTTAAAAAAAGTTTTTTCTGTTCTTGACCTGAGAAAAACAAACTCATTTTATAAATACATACACACATACATACATAAACACATACATATGTACGTATTCACGTAGATTACATCTCAAAGAACTAGTTACTTGCAAATGTAACTATAAACATATATGTGTATATGTGTGTATATATATACACACAGTTGAAAGTAACTGGTTCTTTGAGGATACATGCAGTAAGTGTGTGTGTGTGTGTGTGTGTGTGTGTATGCATATATGCATCCTCAGTCTGAGGATGGTAATACTAAATGCAGTCATTCTTAAAAACTAAAGATTGTTCCAATACTCAAAGGTTTCTAAATTGTGATTCACTAAAAAGCTCACAAGACGTGCCCATGATTTACGGTAAAATCTGATCACTGTAAATTCAAGAGCCTACCATCCAGCCATCCCGTAGCACCAAGAGTCTTTGCAGAGTGTCGGCTGCTATGGGGGCACCTCACGAGGTCAAGCAGTCATGTTTATTTGTATCTAGATGAGTAGCTAATCAAAGGCTGGTTTATAGGAAGCTTAAACTCTGTTCTCCGCTTGCTGAAGGGGCTGAACTTACGGAAGCTTGAAAAAGATCATTCAGACTATCACAGATGGCAGAATTTAGATTAGCCATAGTCAAATCGGGGAAAAATGATACTTTTCTAAGGCTGGATTATGTTCTCTGCAAATAATTATAGCCACAAATAAATTATCTACTATGTTAAGACCATCTTATATTACCAGGCCACTTGTCAGTATGCACAAGCATACAATACCTCTAGCTTGACTTCATCTGTTAATTATAGAGGAGCAAAGATCAGTGTATCTTTCAGGAAATATCAATGTAGTATTCACTTTTTTACTCCAGTTCACAGTCTGTCTTTGCACAAATTGTTTGGAAAGTGATTTTGGCCTACATGCTTCCTTTCATAAAGTCAGCAGTGGCAGCTATATTAGAAATGAGATTGGGCATTTTTAGGGATCATCTCCAAAATAAAGAAATTAGTTCCAAAAGTTGTATGATTCTACACATAGACATCGTCGAATAAGACGGATTAGATAAACAGGCTGTTTTGGAGTGTGGATGCGTGTTTTTGTGGGGGGATGGTGAGGGCATTGTTTTCTAAGGATTCTACTCTGTAGATTGTCATAGCCGAAGTTTTTGCCATATGTGGCAGACAAATGGTTGCTGGGACTAATAAAGCTATGGACACAGTAATACCGTTAAAATACTATTTCACTATTAAAATAGTGAAATAAACCAAATCACTCCATATCCTTGGAGGACCAGCATTAGTTTTGAATAGTTTTAAACTGACAATCTATTTCCAGCTACAAACTACCTCTAAAAAGCCCTGGTGTCATCCCAGTATTTCAAGGGTCCATCAGACTTTTTTGCTATCAATTTGAACATTTTATTTCTTGCAAGAATCACCTGCCTTACCTTTCTTGTGCTATAGCCTCAAATTCTTCTTTCTACTGAATTTTCTGATCCAAACACAAATGGAAAGTCAGAAAAGATGCAGCCTTTCTGATCCTCAGCCATTCTGCAGCTGCAGGGAGATATGAATTCTGTCTTTGATTGCCTGTGTGAATTATCCCCAAAACAGGGTCAAGCATTTAATACAGATTAAAACGTCTGTTGGCTGTTTTAATGCTGCTGACCAAGACAACGTTTGACTACAGGTATTAAAGTTCTACTTTAAAGTATCAGTCTCTCAACAAGAAGGACATAGCTTGCACAGTCCAACATTCAAATTCACTTGCTGGACGTTCTCTCCTAAAAAGAAATATTCCTAACGAAATAATTATTTTATTTAAAACTTTGTGGCTTTTCATTAACGCATGTGCCGTTATGATGCACCTTACAGCAGTTTCACCAGACTGTTTCCTTAATCAGTCATGACCAGTTCTTTTCTTATTCAGCTGTATGCAAATTTATTAAGGAATTGCATTGTAGTAACCTATTAGTTCAGGAATATCTTCCAGCATGAGATTATAATATCTTTTCAAGCCACAGTGTTCACTGTTAAGCTTCTTTCAAAATACTCGTTACATTACTTAGAAGATACACCTTTCAGTTGCCACCGTATCAATAAACAAGGCAAGCAGACTCTAAGCTGGTGTGACTGAACTTTCCTGTGGTTAATCATTTTTGCAAAAGAATTTAAAGAAATTAGCTGGTGTTGCAATTGCCTTTCAGTTTTGTCTTCGAACTTAACGTTGAAGCTTTTTTTTTTTATTTGACCATTTTGTTCAAATCTCCCTGTTTTTTCTTTTCAAAATATTGTCCCCTATGTGGAGAAAAAAAAACACCACATGTTGGTTGTTGGGCAGGTTTTATTACAGACTCTTGTTGGAACAAAGACCTTGATATAAACTCTATGGCTGTAAATAGTGAGTTTTGAGACTCCTTGTAGAGTAAGTATATTACTGTATCTCTGTCTTTTAGCACACAGCTGAATCTAGCAGTGGAAAATAGTGATGCCACTATAATACTACAATTCTGAATGTATCCAGTGCTGAAGCTGTCAGGTGCTTACACCAATGCGGTGTCTATGACCCTAGTCTTGAGTCCCACCCTACATGGTACAGCCCACGTTTATTTTGCATTGCCGGCCTCTGCTGTGCTGCTGTTCCCCTTCTCCTCCCCTTTTTGCCCACCGAGTTCAGGGTACCGCTATTTGTCTGGCGTTTGGTCAGGCACTGGGGAAAGTTGGCGACGTGTTGCTTTCTTCCTGCAGTACTCCTTCCTCTGTCTATTTAAGTGCTAACATACAGCTCCTGCGTATGGGAGATATTGGAAGGGGTCTCAGGAATGAATTGTCCTTGAGTAAGTGGTCCCTAGAGCAAGGGGAGGAGGACAGGTTTCCAGTGCTGGTAGTATCACACACCCACTACAGCTTCCACTAGATGATGAAGTTCCCAAAGCTGGGTGTGGGCTAACAGTGAGATCAGATCAGGTGGAAGTGAGAGGAGAAGGAGACCTCTGCCCTTACCTGGAAATTAACCTTGCTTCCTCTGAGCTCCACTGACCTCTTATTCATATGATATTTCTGTTACTGTGATACTTTTTTCTGTAGCTTGAAAGATGGAAATGATATTGCCCATCAGAATCTGTATCACCCATCAGTATCAGCGTTCTAAACGTCAAAGCCTGTTGCATCTGAGCAGTCTGCCTCTTTGGCTAATTTTAGAAGCTTCTTGTACAAGAGTTGGTCAGAGCAGGCACTGAAATTCCTTGCTGTTTTAAGCTTGTTGACTTGGCTCCAGCTTCAGTGCCAAATCTGGTAGGACAGTTTTACAATTGCTGTTTAATTAGCCATGATTCCTCAGTCTTGGCTTCCAGGTGGAGAATTACTTAGCAGTCACTGGTAGGTGATATTTCTCTAACTGAACCTCAGATGTCTGAGCCCTCTGTGCTCAGTTAAGAGAAATAGGCACTTCTGGGGCACAAGACAACTGCTGCAATGGTAGACCCCTAAAATAAAACAGATGAGTTGTGTTCTTCAAGGGCCTGTTTCTCTTCATTGACTAAAAGACGGATAGATGACTGTCTCTGCAGTATTCTCATTGTAGATTGAGCACAGGTCTGTGTAGATTTCATTCACGTAATAGCAAAGGGTGGGGAGAAGTAACTGGTTCTTTGAGATGTAATCTACATGGATCTTATAACTTCCTTCCCCACTTCTGGGCAGTCGCCAACTAAGATTTGGACCTGGCAAGGGAGCTGACAGGTGTTTGCAGCTGCTCTTTTCATTATCCTTCTAAAATCAGGATATACTGTGTATGTAGTGGCCTAGATTCATCATATCTGTCTTTAGGTAGTTTACAAGTTGCCTCTGCAGTTAGTGGCAAGATGTTGGATGGGCTGATGCCCCCTCGAGGTCCTTACTTTTCTCTGCTGACTGTATTGGGATCCTCCTGAGACAATTGTACACCTAAGTTTCTAAAATAAGATGATGCAAATTCAGGCCACCAACTATAGGTAATGCCTAATGTTCAGGTTCTTTACTGTTCATGTTCTCATCTCAAGCTTGTGTAATTGTGCAGCTAAAATGCAATCCATAGATAACATTTGGGAGAACTATTCTTTTGTAACAAAACCACATTTTAAATATAATAGACCTACATTTGTTTTGTACGTAGAAATTCTACTTTTTAATACAATTTATCTCGAAGTCTAGGTGCCCTCCATTGTATTAAAAGGCACAAAGGCTGAAGAGGTATAGTAGCTTTTGGTTAAGAGGTAAAGCCACAGTCTTTTTATAACTAAAGATCGTTTTCCTAGGAGCAGAACAACTATAATCCCACAGGATTTGTTAAATTTTAGCATAAAGAACTGAATCTGTTTACCTACATGCACTATGCAGTTTATTTGAATATAATGTCCTTCCTTTGCTGTCCTAAATGGGTTCACTTGTGTGTTAAACTGTAGTTTCAGTGACCTTAAAAATTAATCGATGCTTTTATGCTTTCATATTTACATTTAATATTTACATAACAATGCTTAGAGAACAGTTACTACAAGAAATTACTTGGTTTAGATTTGAATGCCACTTTTCTCAAGAGTAAACTCAGATTATTTAAGTGCAGCTTTTCTACTGGGAAAATATCGCAGCTTATTTTAGGACAAGCTAACACTTAAATTTTCTGGCAGGTTCATTTTCATCATTCTTTGAAAATTTGTTTTTGTTTATTTGTTTCACCAAGAATTAGTATCAGCGGAGAGAAACCAAAAGATCGATCATGGCACACGTTGACTCCTATAGGAGATGACCGACTTTTTCTTTTTGGTGGACTGAGTTCTGATAATGTTCCTTTAAGTAAGTAATTTAAAGCTTAAAAGTCTATTGTACGCTTTAGTAGTAAACTAACATGTTGTGTACATTTATTGTCTTTCTCAAGCTATTTAGTCCTAAGACTTGTTACAGAATTTTCATGACACTTGAATATTTCTCTAGCCATCTTATTTTATATAGAAGTTCAGGAGCACATGGCGCAGCACCACAAGCACGTGTGATGATAAATCTCTTTAAACTGTTTTAAAAGAATAAAAGGCAAGAGTCTCACACGTTCAGATATCAACAAGGGTAGCTTTTTTTGATATCGATAGCAATCGTAGTAAGACGATACAAATGATAATGTCAACATAACATAAATTTTTAGATGAGTAACATTAATCACAGCTATAAAAACATGAAAGAGGAAGTCGGATAGTCTATTACAGAGTTATTTTCCAGAAAAGGCATCTTTTCCATGACAAAATGCAAAATTAGTGAAAATAGCTTTGAGTGTCACAGATATATTCCAGTGGCGGGGGTGAGGGGCGGATTTTCAAAGAGACATTGACCTTTTTTCTGAACATATTTAAAAGAAAAAAAAAATCAGTGTATTCTCATTCCATATTGCAATACAGTGAACTGTCTGTGACTGAAAAGGTTAAGTTAACTTACAAAGATGGAAAAGATGCTAGTTGATCCAGTGATTATGTTATCGTTTTCTTGATTTAATGTTATCTTAGAACACAGAGCTCTTTAGAATGAGAAGATCGTACTTTGTCCCAGGAAGAAGTACTAATTATGTATCTTCTTCTTTGTAGGTGATGGTTGGATTCACAGCATTTCAACAAATGGATGGAAACAACTTACCCACTTGCCTAAGAGTAGGCCTAGGTATACAAAAATAGATCCACATTTGCTGAAAGTTAGACTTTATTAAGTAATTTTAAATTGTTGAGCAGTATTTTTAATCTACGTTATAAGAATATGTTACAAAACGAATGCAGTATGATGGAGCAGCTTGCATTACTAACTTAGGCTTCTTCATGCTAGGTACAGCATTATTACTTTCTATATTTGTTATACTTTATGATGCTTTCTTGCATTAAATGGTTTTGTTTGTAATGAAAGATCTCATTGTCCAATCAGCCCGATGTTATATATCACAATGATTTTGTATAATAAAATGTACATTGATTAATTTTGGAGGAATTAATAGCTTACAAGAGTGATGAAAGTTGATTAACGTTGAGACATTATTAGCGACATGGGAGAGAGAGCCATGAAAAATGTTGATGCCCCTTTTGGGGTTCAGAAGAACTATAAATTGCTCTTTGTTTTTCCCCTGAGCAGAAGCAGTTAATTATGCTTACAGTTTTGTATAACTGAATTTAGTACTAAACAACACTAGTTGGATTTAAACAGCGTTATAGTTAATGATTGTGGGGTTTTGTTATTTTGGGGACTTAACTGCCAACCAAAAAGGACCTGGTTCTACGATCTGCATTGCGCATACTGGCAAAAATACTGTCTCTTGCAGACTTCTGTTCCCCTCTCAAATTTAAGACTGAAGAAAAAGGTGGATTCTTTCTGACTAAAGCAAGCAAATTTCATTTTCTGAATCTAGAGGTTATTTAGAAGCTGCCATTGAAAACAAGCACTTGCTGTATCAGAGTACAGGCTTCATTTTTGCCATTATGTTTGCAGCACTGCATGTGTTTATAATGTACTACATACTGTCGAACAGAATTGCTGCAGATGGTAAATATTCAGTTTTTCATGGAATCCATTCTATACATTAGCTAAGGTACTCTCAACACTATTTTATATAGTTTTTTTTAGTGTAGGGTACGATTTTGGTCTGGCATTTGGATACCTCCTGCCATATGTTCTCTTTTCTGTTTCTGGAATATCTTTACGTCATGGAGTAGTCTTCCAATTTTATCCTGTTTTAGAGTGTCTTTGAAATGTAAGAAAGCAGTACATTTGGTCTAACAGTGCTGTTATATTTAAAACTGTTTCAAGACGAAATAAATTCATACCTTAACTTTCATAGAGCGTTTTCTACCTTTTTATGGTAATGAAACTGATTTATGAAGAGATTGATGACTGCCTTCAGTAACGAAGCACGTTATTAGCAATCAGAGGTTATGTCTGTCTTTGCCTCCTGTTCAGGTCTCTTAACGGATGGTCTCCTGTAAAATAACTGCTGAAGTGGACTGCCTCCGCTTGTGTAATTAAGTTTTATTGGTGCATTAGGAAAAGGATTGGAAAGGGACAAAATTGGCTCTTTCTGCAGGCAGCAGGCTAGGGAGCTGCAGCTCAGCCTTTACCCCGCAATTAAGCGAAAAAACATTTGTACCTCAGATGGTAGTAGACTTGTATGCAATCAACCTGTGAGACTCGAGCACCAGGTGGCTTTCAGGCAGTTCAAGCGCAGATCCTGTACTGGGCTACGAAAATCTGTCGTTTGGCTGTGCTGGCAGAGAGGCTGTTGAGCAATCCACCTTTCTTGCTGACGTGGAAACACGAAAAAGGATTCCCAAGGTTGACACTGCTAAGCTTCCTGGAGACTCTACTGCACGCCCAGCCAGATCCTCAGAATGAAATAGAGAGAGCTATTGGGTCACATACTGAAGACAGTTTCAGAGCACCCTCATGTCCAAATGTGTCCTGTGGTTATACACCATCAGAAGATTGTGATATGCAATTTGTAGGTGGAGGACAGTTGCCTTTCATTGTCCTCATTCTTTATTGAAGTAAGTGACTTCTCCACCTCCCCCCTCCCCCGCCCCAAGATATTTCAGTAGCCTTTTTTAGTAAGTCTTGGAAACAGAGAAAAGAGACCCTACCGAAAGTTTCTCTGTATATTGGATTAGTTTGAAAGTGTGGAGTATTTCCTTGTACCCTAATTGTGTCCCTACACTTACAGGACCTCTCTAGCAGAAAAGATTTTAACTCAGGCCCATTGCTCATGTGACTTTAGCAGCGGGACTTAAAATGCACTGGCAATCTTACCTACGTATGCACTTATTTTATATATTTCTATTCTATTTTATAATAACACACTGTATATCACGCATGTATTTCGTGATGCTTCTGCAGAATTGGCGCTCTCCTTAAATGCTGTAAAGAGTAATTCCTGTAAAATTTCCTTCAGCCTCCATTTTCAGTAATTTGTAATAACTGTCTTCCATGTTATAGAACTGTGGTACTAAACTGTGTGTTGGTAGAAAAGTGTTCTGTGTGTTTTGCTGTTGGTGGGTTTTGTCTATAAATTGTACTTCAGCTAATGTTTTGCATGTGAGGTTAAAATATAGAGTAAGTTATATGTTTAACTTATAAATTCCCAGTGTTTTCATTACAATGTAACTGTGTAATTCTAGTCAGAAGAGCTGTGTAAAAAGGTTGCATCAATTCAGTTTATGTATTATTTAAATAACATGCTTTATTAGAATGTTTAGGTGATAAGTTAGAGCAGCTGTGAGAGGACATAAACTCTGTCAGTCTGTAGAAAAAAGCATCAGGTTGCAAGCTAGAATGTCAACAAAGTCAAGGCAGGAAAGGCTTTCCAGTGTTCTTCGGTGATGAAGTCCAGGCCAGAGTTTTCCTAATGCAGATAAGGCAGAGACAGATCTATCTACAGGTATGAGGAAGAGAAAAGGTGGGATACAGTTTAGCGTAAGGAGAACAGTGAATAATTACTGAAATTAATGGAGTAAGAAAATGAGAACATTTGTTTTTGCCTGAAAATTCTAGTTGTACATATTATTTTGGTTATGTAAACATACGGGGCCATACGGCTCTGTAATTATAATCATCCTGTGATATATACTTAAGTGGTGATACACCAGTAGAAAAGTAATAGATGTTTGATCTGCTAATAATAAAAAGTAAACCTAGCAAATTGCAGCTACTGAAGTAGCTGAATCATTGCTACAGCAAGATTATACAAATTAGTTTTTTGTTTATAATGCCAACTTTTATATGCAGAACACAAAATTACTTGTGGGCATGATTTAAGAAATTGTCATGCATAGAAAATGATCTATGTGAATCTTTGGGAGAAGCATAAAACTGATGCAGAAGAACCTGTGTACTGAACTTCTCATCCTAGTGTTCAGGCATAACAGTCAGTACTAAAAAGCCCACAATCTTAAATCCATTGGTATTATAGTTATTAATTAAATAGTGGAAATTTAAAAAAAAAAAAAAAATCTTGACCAAAGCTTATCTGTATAGTTATTTTGTTTTACAAAAATTTTCCACTTTAAGATTTTGTTGAAGTACTGATAAATAAGCCAAAGTATACATAACTATATTACTTGTAAGTCAAATAATTGCATATATACATATGGGTCTGTATGAAATGTAATAATTCAGCAAAAGTCTCATAAATTGGATAGTCACATTGCTCTTTCCTTTCATAATGTTAAAGAAGTGAATAATATGTAAGGTGTTATTTTTAGCATTGAAAGCTTTTGAAATAATCACATTTGTCTTAGTTTTCCAAGTATTAAGGTTTATATGAAGGTGCTCTGTGTGGGTATGTGTCTGCCTCTCCTTGCCATGTATCTTTTGAATCAATGGACCCATTTCAGTAATATTTGACAAAGTAGAAACCTCAAGAATACTAAGCCCCGACAAGTTCTGTGCAAATAAATGGCCAAACAGAAAAGAGACACTCTAATCAGTTTACACCATTGAGTGCTTAGTGCTTGTTAGACAGCAAGGAATGGAAGGTCTTTGAGACAAAAAAAATCATGAAAAAAAAAAAAACAACTGTGTTGTTTCTGCAGTTTACAGAGCAATTTGTAAAATAATCGAATTACAATTTTAAATTCCTCTTGGTGAGTAGTGTGAGATGAGTAAGACTTCACATCTCTGTGCATAAGTAGTGGAATCATATGATTTAGAAAAGTGACCTTTCCATTTTAATTAAAAGGAACTTATATCCTTATAACAAAAGAGTTGTTTGAAAAGAAGCTTCAATATGAAGAATAGAGGGAGGTCATGTGAGATGATTGAGGTTAATATTTAAGCAAATATACCACTTCCCTGCACCCCTTAAAACATATAGTTTTTAGATTTGTTTTACTGATAATACGCAATTGCTTTTTGTTGTTATTCAGTCACTAAGTCTGTTTCTAATTTTATTTCCAGATTGTGGCATACAGCCTGCCTTGGAAAAGAAGGAGAAGTGATGGTGTTCGGTGGAAGCAAAGATGACTTGCATTTTATGGATACAGTCAGTAACCTTAGTAATGAATTCCTAGCACTGTAATAATTAAAATAAGTAAAGTTAATATAATCGCTGAGATCATCAGGGCATATGCTGTTGTGAAGACGTGACCTTGGGCGTTTTTGAAAGGCGATACATGAGGGTTTTCCTCTGCCTTCGTTAGCCTCGTAGAAGGGAGTTCGCTATTCAGATTCTTTATAAAATGATTATTTAAACATTCATTTTTAAATTATGTATGTGGCAATAATTGCTACATTAATCCGGTTAATAGACAGCTGTATTTCTGAGATGAGCTATTATCCTAGTGATTTTCATGTTTATTTTTTTTCCCTCTTGATCAGGGTCACTGCAGTGATTTGCTGATATTTCAGACTCAGCCTTATTCGCTCCTCAGGTGAGTTGAGGTTATCGGCACAAAGAGAGTCTAGTGTAAACTACTATCGTACTACGTTTTTACACACAGGTAAACACACATTTTACTCTTGCATAGGCAGGTAAGCTAGAAAGTTACTATTTCAGTAAATGCTCCAAACGTGCAATGTATGACAGACAATACATAGCAGTTAAGCCACAGGAGGTGTGTTTCTAGACAATACATAGCAGTTAAGCCACAGGAGGTGTGTTTCTTCTGCATGTGTATGCACAACATGTCATTAACATCATCGCAAGAAACTTTCATAGGTGTTGTTTTTTTATCTTTAGGTTATAGGACATTTACTTAAATCTTTTTTTTTTTCTCCCCAGGTTGTCTCTTGACTGTATTGGTAAAAATGCAACCCTCCTACAGAATCAAATACCGTGCTTGCCATCCAAACTTCTGCAGCAGGTGCTGAAAAAAATAACCTTTTGGGCTGCAGTTAACCACCGGCAAGAGAAAAAAGCTGAAACTGAAAGACAAGGTCAACTTAATACCACATGAACGATCGGCAGCAAAACTGTTAAACACTTTGTTTATTTCCAGTGTACAGCAAAGTCTTTTGTTAGTGAACTTTACTAATGCTACAGAACAACTGTATGTTATGCTGAGTTTCTAAGTGAGGTTTGAGAACAAAGACATTCTTTTTATGGAAATCTCTTTTGTTTTCTGCATTATAGAAAACTGATAAAACTTCATTTGTATATATTGTTAACTTCTGCTGTTGTGGTCTTAATGAGAGAGTCCATAAAACTTGTTCTTTTTGTAGGTGACAGGTGATATAAAATGTTTTCAGTTTGATAAAATACGGCTTAAGTCTTAACTCTTATTACAGCCTTATCACATCAGCATTTCTGAACCGATACAATTAGTTCAACACAGTATCTTTGGAAGGTTCACACTTGATGTTCTTCAAAAAGATAACTAATTTGCTAATATGACAATTCCAAATCCTATTACTCGATTCCGCCACATTCTATCATTCGATTAGTTACTAAGAGCCAGCGATTTTGCTCAAAGTAGAAAAACACTGTAGAACTTGAAGAAAAAGCTGTAATGAGCAACATTGCAGTTTGTATGTGGAAGCTTTCATGCTGCTCATAATATGGTTTTGCTGTGTTTCTGTAATCACTGAGTCCTTCTTAAAATAGGTTGTATATTGTATTTTGAGTGTGTAAAGTTTACATTTAAGTCTTGTTTTTTAAAAATTATGCTTATTTATTGTTATAAAAGAGCACTGTAGTTCTTGCTATTTTTCCGTTTCAAATATTTAGTTAACGAGAGCGCAGTCATTAAAATTTTCTAGAGGGTTGAACGGTGGCCAAGTTCGACTAGTGTTTGCCGTTTTTATAACCTGCAAGCCCGATGTAACGCAGGGGAGGGAGCTCGGCGAGCACGTGTGTAGCCTCAAGGGAGACGGCGCTGCGGGTGACCCCGGCGGGGGAGGGGGCGGCGCATGCGCAGGGCGGCGCCGCACGGCGCCTGCGCGGCGC